AGCTTCTCCAGGAGAAACTATTTCAGTGCCAACCATCTGGCTCTTCAAGTTTATACATCAGCAATTTGCTCACACTTCCCATTTTCTTGGCCAGCCTTTCTCCACTGGGGTACTGTCCCTTTTCTCCCCCTACATTATACACCTCAGAACACCATCTTTCACTCTCAACCTGAAGAGCAGGGCTTTTCTTTTCCTTCTCTGTAGTTATTTTTGACTAGAAACATCCTGGTTGCCTCCACCTATGGCTTCAGGTTCCAGGTTTGAATCCATGTCCTGAACATTGCCAGGTGACTCGGAGTGACCATGCAACCTAGGGGGCTGGCACACGTCCCTGAGCTGAACATGGCACTGGCTCTGCTGCGTCTGGCTGGCTGTCTTCTGTGTCAGACCCTTATGCGTGTCTTACTGGGACCCCAGCCCAGCCACTGAATAGGGATATGTTAGGGAGTTTGTGTCCCTTCGATGAAAACCTTAGGGTACATGCAGACACTCTGTGTGGGTGGAGTTTTCAGAGTGACATTGAACTTCAGTAGAACTTTCCCTATGACAGTTGTACTTCCTGGAGCCTGGCCCCACACAGTTCCCAGAGGAAATGAAGTGCTGCTTGCTACCTGATGCAGACTTTCCCAAGTAGGAAGAGAATAGGGTTGGGCTGAACACAAGAGAAGCTCACTTGCAAGCTTGCAGGCCCCAAGGAATAAATGTACTCTGAGAAATCCCTAGCCTTCAGGGACAGAGTGGGGAGTAGCTCACGCTTGTGGCCCTGATTCCTGGAGTTCAGGGTCCACACCTTGCCTAGTCAGCAAGGGAGGGCCAGAGCGACCCAGGTGAGGAGCACCTGCACTGCCAGCCTGCACCGCCACGTGCTGCGTTGGGCAACAGGGCAGGGCAGGGATGAACCCGTGACTGTGGACTGGCAAGCCCAGGGCGCTGAACCATTGGACTGTGGACTGGCAAGCCCAGGGCGCTGGGCTGCCCGTGGGCAGCGCTGACCTGTCCTTGTCACCTGCAACCTCGGGGAGCCCCGTGTGTCTTTAAAAACAGCTTACGTTAGTTGTGCCGGGAAGGATTTCACTGTTACCTTTCCACACGACGTGTGTGTCTTCATTCTTCACACTGTGCCCTGCCAGTCCCTCAGGTCTTCCGGGTCCCAGTCCGGTGTGTTTCCGTGGGGACAGCCGCCAGCAGAAGGGCGGGCTGCTGGAAGCTGAGTGTGTTTCCTTTCCTGGTCATGCGCATGTCCTGAACATTGCCTCTGTTGCTATGAGTGCCCTACTGAAGGGGGAGGATTGTAACCTCCTGAAAGAGCATTGAGACAGGAACACTGAGGCATTGTACTTTGGGGACAGAAGTCGCTCACCTCCATGTTGCACTCATCTCTCGCGTGCAGGGCTGGGATGGTGGCGAGATCTTAGGGTTCAAACCCCCCTGCTCTAGCGCTCTCTCATCTGACCCCACGGTGGGCTAAACAGATGCCAGCTTGTCTAGCCGTCAGCACATAAACACCGCCACACACATTTGTACCTCTGGGCTCATGGACCATAATCTCTGCCACCTCTCCAGGACCCTGGCTTTCAGCCCCGGGAGAGCCTCGGTTCCTGCAAGCACCAGTTCATTAGATATGGCTGTTCTTAAGAGAATGCACGTGGGCCACAGACCCAGGGCAGGATCCTCTGAGCTGGCCAGAGGAGGCAGAGGTCACTGGCAGCCACCTCTGGTTTTCAGAGGGCAGGATCGCCAGGTTAGCTTTCCTAGCTCCCCAATCCCAGCACATGCTAGAAAAGCCTTGTCCTGAAGGACAGGGCGCAGCCCGCGTCCCTCTGTGGGAGGTGGAAGTCCACGAATACAAAGAACTGCTAGTGGAAAGAGTGAGCTAAGGGTGTCTCCCATCAAACACCCTGCTGGACAGGGAAGACCCTGGGAGCAGGAACAATCCTACCTTCTTGGAAGATGGTGTTGGCTGCTGAAGCCCTAGCCGGTGTCTTTCCCACTGCTAACTCTGAATGGGCTGCTTGTGAGAAAAAGCCACATCTTGTGCAAGTCAACAGCAGAACTGCTTAGTTAGAAATAAGCTACACCCTCGACATTAAGAGTTGTGCTTAGATCTCAAATACTGGAGCCAGAGACACCTCCTAGATAAAGCCAAGAAGAGCTCCAGAGGGCTTTGCTATTTGTTCTCCAAGAGTCATGTGAGAATCCTTTGAGTGGAAGGCGGAGTGGAGAGTACGTGTTAAAAATGAGGATTTCTTGGCTAAAAACATTCATGAGAAGACGCCCAGCCCCATAACTTAAATATTCAGAAATGTAGGAATATGTGAATAAGAACACAAGTCATCATTTCATACGCTTCGACATGATTACAGAATGCTGCCCAGTTAGTTTCCAGGGCTGGTGAGAACCACACACAACACGGGGTGAAGGTTATGTGGGGCTGGGACGGAAACAGGCCATGTCTCAAACGACCGACCTCAAGCCCTGACAATCCCACCTCTATCTGCACACATCCAAGAGAAATGAAAACACACCTGCATAAAAGCTGGTACACAAGCGTTTGTAGCAGCATTACTCGGAGTAGGTAAAGGATGGAGACACCCCCAAAGTCAATCCTCTAAATAAACTGGATACACAAAATGTGGTCAATATTCTTGGCCACCAGACAAGAATGATCCACTGACCCGTGCCACAACATAGGTACAAGCATTACATTAAGTAAAGCAGGGGACAGGGTTTGTGGAATAATGGAATAGGAACACCTTCAAAATAGTGTCAGATAATTATTTTTGAGACAATACTCCGCCCCCCCCCAAAGAAATACTATCACAGGAATTACCAAACACCACGTGCCTTGGTCCTGGCTAGCATGCACCTAGGAACACCTGGAAGGAGAGAGTGCTGTCAATGCCTGGTGCTCAGCTGCCTACGTGACTAGGGGTTGGTGCCCGGCTCTGGTGGACTGAGCCTTGAGGCTCCCACTTACCATTCTCCCAAGTTTGGGATCCATTGGGCCGGAGCTCCAGCTCTCGTGTAACCTTCAAGGGCTGTGGGAAGAGGAAGTCCCATCAATACCCCAAGTGGATCTCACTAAATATCTCTGTGTGTCCTAACACCACCTGACCCCCCGGAAGGAAGATGAGGCTAATGAAGCGGATCTATTCATGTCTGGAAAACAAAAATGCTTTGTTCCACATGTAGGCAGAGAAGGGAACAATGAATCCCATATGCAGAGATAAAGGATGAGGCAGTGGTCTGAAGGTCATCTGATGCCACTGGAGATCGGTGGCTGCTGAAGCCATGGCTTCCCTCCAGAGGTCGGTGGCCACTGAGACCATGGCTTCCCCTGGAGATTGGTGGTCGCTGAGGCCGTGGCTCCCTAGGTGATCTCAAGGCTCAGGGGCAGGAGATAACCGTAGACAGTGAGCAGTGAATATATACAAGGCCCACCAGCAAGGGCAACCTAGAGGCCTCCAGCCTCCATCCTGGGGTTCAGACCCCAGTTGTGTCCCTCTGAGCACATGAGCTAGGACACTGCAGGCTGTGTTCATTTCTTGGAGCCTCTGTTCACAAAAATGCTCGAAGCCAGGCAACGTACACAGCAGGTACGTGTGACCTCCCAGCTCTGAAGGCCCTGAGGTCTAGAGTGAGGTGTGTGCAGGGTGGGCTTGTTCTGATGCTGTGAGGGAGAAGCTGCCCCAGGCTGCCCCAGCTCCTGCTGCTTGCTGCTGGTCCTTGGTGCTTTGCCTCATAGCAGCAGGAGCCTAGACTCTGCCTCCATCATCACTTGGCATCTCCAAGTGTGTCTAGGGGTTGAGGTGGAAGAGGACCTTAGCGGGGAAAGGCTGGCACCAGTGAGCAGATGATGAGCACTCCTGGAAAGTGGAGAGGCCAAAGCATTAAGAATAAAGCATTTAGGAACCCGCTGGGAAACTTCTGAAAAGCCCAGTGCCAGGCATGTCCTCAGGGCCGTGTGTCATTTGGGGTCAGAGCGGGCAGGGAGCCAGGAGAGCAAGCATAGTCGAGGTCTTCTGGGCAGGGTTCAGGGAGTGACAGGTGAGCAGGAGGATCATTCGAAGGTGTGCCTAGCAGAAGGGAAGATGGGAGGTCTGAGCACTGCACAGGGCCTCATCCTCCATCCCTTCCATTCCAGGCAGTTTGGAATCGGCGTTCTGGCCTGCTTGCATGCTGTTCTAGCAGGCAGCCATTGCAGAGCTACGGAGAACAAGCTCCTAGTGACAGCTTTCTGATGGGGGCAGAGCCGGTGCTCTGTCTGTTCCTGGTGTCCAGCCGCCAGTGGGCCGAGGCACTGGGCGGCTCCCTCGGGAAGCTCCACCATAAAGGGTCCTGAGCAAGACGTCTTCCTGTGAGCCGATTTCCCTGGTTTCCCAGGCTGCAGCTTTCCAGCAGGTTCTGCCAGTGCTGACCACTGTGGCTTCTCCAACAAGCACTGGGCCACGATGGCGTTTGCCTGGCCCTGCAGCGGGCTGTCCCTTGGATGTGCTATCTCAGGAATAGTGGTTGCTCGTGTCTTCTGTCTGCCCTGGATTCTACACGTGACTATGAGTCCTACCTGTAATCCGCAGGGAGAAACGTGTCAGAGACCCAGCCGGCCGGAGACGGTGGGGGCTGCGTGCTCTGGTGTGAGGCGTGTACGAGATGAGCTCATGACCAGTGTCCATGAGGCACAGGAGCTGCCGTGGGAGCTTCTGGGGGCAGACCTTGCAGTTCTTTCTGTAGGCTACGAAGCTGAAGGCATGCATGGTTGTGATGCAGCCCTGTCTTCTGAGTCCTGACCGCCGGCCTCCACTCTGAGCTGACAATGACCCACACGGCAGCCCACATACACACGCATGTGCTCCATGACCCACACCATGCACACCCAACAAGCACCTGTGTGGCCTGTGAATAAGCCAGAAACCACCCACCAAGCGTGTGTGCTCCTGAGCCAGGGGCTCCCCACGAAGCACACCCGCGTGTCCCACAAGGAAGGCAGACACAAACAGTGATTTCAGGGGTCAGTGTTCACTTTTATTCAGCAGCACAGACCAAGGGGGGACAGTCCTTCCACTGGGAACTGTGGGCTAGGCCCCGAGGGGTGGTAACAGAGAAGGGACAGCAATGTTGGGGCAGGTCTTGAGAAAGGACAGAACAGAGCACAGCGAGGGGTGACAATGGGGGCTGTGATGGCACAAGAGCCCCCGACTTTTCTCCCTTTCTGAATATCCCACTGTCATCCCCTGACCCAGAAGGCAGAGACAACCAGCTCCAGGCACCAATCCAGTGATGGCTACCACACCCTAACAGAGCTGCTGTTCTGCAATGCTGAATCCTTTTTAACGCTGAGGTCACACTGCCACCACTGAGAACCTGCTCAGAGGGTCGGTCAGCTGGCCTTAATGAGCCCCAGCACTGGAACATTAACAGTGGCCTGGTACAGCTAACTCCACCCACCTGACGGCTGGACCTGCTGGTGTCCATTCTTGGAAGTTGGCTCAAGGAAGAAGGGGAGAGGAACTTCCACTTTCCCAAAAAAGCCAGAAGAGGGAGAGGGTAGGATTCCTTCTGGTCAGGTGCAGCCCTCTGCGGGGAGCAGACTTCTCAGTCCTGCAGCTGAGACACCTCATACAGGTACGCGGCCAGCATCTTGGTTCCTTCCACATAGTTATGCCTGGAGGAGAGAACACGTGGGCTGCTGCCTGCTGCCTGGGAGTCAGCACGTGTGTGTGGCTCCCTGGCAGGGAGGGAGGGAGGCTGCATTCCTCTAGGGAGCATCTCCCATCCTGGCTTGGAGTCCCTCTTGCTTCTAGGACTCGAGCGCCTCTCTCTCTGAGCAGGTGCAGCCCACTCCTCCTGCCAAGCCTGGTGCGGGGGTAGGGGTGGAAAGGTCTGTCTCATCTGGTTCTCTGGTTGTCAATTGCTCACCCAGATCCAGGGCCCAGCATTGTTTCTGAAGAGCAGGCCTCCACCTCATACCCCAGGGACCAGTCTGTCTCTCCCACTCCCTCAGGCGGTGCAGGGTCCTTGCTGCGTCAGAACTGCTCACCCTGCTTGCCCAGGAGAAGCCTGGGATTTCTGTCCTCAGCAGCTCCAGGTCTCGGGTGCCACTCCCTCCACCTGCTGGGGCCCACCTGCCCAGCCCTCTCCTTCCTGCTGCCGACCACAGGCTGCCTCTCTCCCGGGAGCTGGGGGCTCCCTGGCATGACCACAGCCATGACATGCTGAATTTTCAAACAGGCCAAGTTGAGGGACTGAGGGCATGGTAGGTGTGCAATGCACACAGGGCACCGACTGACCTTTGTCTCCATAAACCACCTGCAGTAGGACTCATTCCCACCCCTCCCCCATGAGAAGTTTTCACTGCCCAATCCACCCCAAGGGGAGTCCTGACAGGTGCCACCACCCACCTGCTGTTCTTTAGAAGCAGGGGAGGAGTCTCACCTGTTGAGCTTCTCATTCTGGGAGTGGGCGCCATCATCTGCTGACCCCACTGGTAACAGCATGACGTTCTTGCCCGTGGCTTCCTGAAAGGTCAAGGTCACAGGAATGCTGCCACCTTCTCGGGTCAAGTCTGGTTCAACGCCAAAGACTGGGGGACAGAACAAAAGAAAGGGTGAACATTGGGGCCTGGAGCCCAGAGACCTTCACAGAGCCATCACCCAACAATACTGAGCCCCAAACCATCAGCTGGCAGCCCAGGTCCCAGCCCACGGCCAGCCTTCCTCTGAGCACCACAGACAAGCCTCGTGTATCACGTGATACAGCAAGGCCCTGGGCGCGCGCTCAGGAGCCTGGCTTCCGCCCCCGAGGCAAGCAAGTCCAACCTGCTTTCAGGGCTCTTCTCCCAGCCACGTAATGCGGGTGATTGAAGTCGGCCACCCAGGGCTTCCCACCGTGGCCCATGTACACCTTGAACTTATTGGGACTGTGTAGTTCAGCAAACTTCTTGGTCAGGTAGCTTGTAACCTAAACCATAAACAGAAACACACATCATGTTTCTGTTTGGTTCTGAGCCAATGCTGGCAACTTACAATGGGGCTACAAGGTTCAGGCAGACAGGTCTACTCCAGGTCCACAGTGAGTCTACAGAGTCTTGCTGTTGAAGACTGGCCTGCATACCATAACACCAGGAAAGGGAGTTAAACATCTTGTTCTGGAAGGTAAAAGGGACTAGGACTTTAGCTCAGGAGGCTCTCTCTCAGCATTCTTGCTCACAGCTGGAACTCTACCACTTGAGCCATGCTTCTGGCTCAGCTTTTTGCTTATTAATTGGAGGAGCTTCACATACTTCTCTGCCCAAGCTGGCTCTGAACTTCAATCCTCTAGGTCTCATCTTCCTGAGTAGCTAGGAGTACAGGTGTGAGCACCAGTTCTTGGCTTAAAATGCAATGCTGTAATTCAAAGCAATTCACTTTTCACACAGTTTAATGTGTGATCACATTTTAATATTAAGTATAAAAACAGCCGGGTGCCGGTGGCTCATGCCTGTAATCCTAGCGATTCAGGAGGCTGAGATCTGAGGATCTCAGTTCAAAGCCAGCCCGGGCAGGAAAGTCCCTAAAACTCTTATCTCCAATAAACCACCAGAAAACCGGAAGTGGCGCTGTAGCTCAAGTGGCAGAGCGCTAGCCTTGAGCTGAAGAGCTGAGGAACAGAGCTCAAGCCCAGAGTTCAAGCCCCACGACCGGCCCAAAAAAAAAAAAAGTATAAAAACAATGTTCTCTGACCTGCTGGATGTTAGCTCTCTAAACTCTGCTAAGCCTCTCTTTGGAGATGAGGTGGGTCTCTAACTGGACAGGACTGGTATCCTGTAAGAGGGACACCAGAGAGCCTGTGCCTTCTGGGATTGGGAGCAGATGCCACATGCAGTACTGCCACCTTCATCTTGGGCTTCCCAGACTCAGAAAAATAAAACCACCCACGATGTAAGCTTCTGTTAAGGCAGCTCTAGCAGACAAATAAACACTGTACTACTTGAGCCACACCACTCGGCCCTTTCTGGTTTACTTTTCAGTCTCTTGGTCTTGGTGTATGGGGCAGTCTTGGACCTTGATTCCCTGCCTCCTGAAAAGCTGGGATCACAGAAGTGTGCTACCACACCCAGCTTGTTTTTGATAGAGCTGCCCTAACTTTTTACCTGGGCTGTCTCCTCTCATCTCCACTTTTTGTGTAGCTGGCATCACAGGCATGAGTCATGACATCTAGCCCTAAGCTTTATGGTGATGACTGGCTAAATTTCATTGAGACATAAAGGAATCCAAGATCCAACCATGGACATGCCTGGATGACATCTAAGTTCTTGTGTGGAGAGCAGGTCTCGGGGTTTTCTTCCCAAGGGAAGATGCTGATTCCATCTCCCCATGAAGTCTCCCCATAAGGAAGAGCAACTGCCGGATGCTGGTAGTTCACTCCTGTGATCCTAACTACTCAGGAGGCTGAGATCTGAGGATCGTGGTTCGAATCCAGCTTGGGCAGCAAAGTTTAGAAGACTCTTATCTCCAATAAACTAAAAAAAGCCACAAGTGGCTCTATGGCTCAAGTGGCAGAGAGCTAGCCTTGAGCAAAACAGCTCAAGGATAGCACCCAGGCTCCGATTTCAAGCCCCGCTGGCACATGCATGTACCCATGCAAGAGTGCAAACACACACACACAGGCTGGTACTGGAACTCTCCCTTCCACTCCTTCCACTCTATTCCTGCAATAGATGGACTCTCAAGACTCTCACCCAAAGATGACATTTGACACAAATCCATTGCGAAGAGGTCAGAGAAGACCTTGGCACATCTCAGCAGTAATGAAGGTCACTTACGAGCAATGCTTGCTTGTGTGACCTTCGCTGATGACACACTTCTGCATTGATCATTATAACAAGTACTGAGTAGGCCAAAGCCATGAGGTACAGGTGTGTTAGCATGAGGTTTCTGCCTAGTAAAAGCCTTTTTCCCCTAAGGCTCTAAGAACACAGAAGTCCTTGGCTCACACCTGTACCCTGCACCCCCATCCACACCCCACATACCTGCTCACTGACAACTTCCGGGGTCATGTTTGGCACGAGCCTGATGGAAAACTTGCCGATCACCTTCCTAGGAATCACGGTCTTCGCCCCTGCCCCAGAGAAGGCACCTTCAATGCCGTGGAGGGAGAGGGAGGGGAACCGCCATCGGTGCATCAGGATGTCTTTCTGCAGAATCACAGGGAGGGTCCGTGAGGAGACATGATGTCAACTGGGCAGCTGCCGTTCCTTAGGGCCAGGCTGCGTCCTGACAGCTCCAGAAAGGAGGCTGGGATGTGGGGACCCCATGCAAGAGGGCTGCTTAGAACTCACCCAATGGGTCACAATGGCTGCACACTCCCAAAGGAGGGTCATGCTGCCTCAGTAGTCCCCAGAGCTGGCGCTAACTGTGCAGGTGGTCAGATCCACTCTAAGCCTGCAGGCCACCCCCCTTCCCCACATCCCCCGCTTCTCCGCCCTTCTGCCAGTGTGCATTGGCCTGTCTCTGCTGGTCTACCAGTGGCTTCTGCAGGACTCTAGGACAAGGCCCAACCTGTCCCAGACCTGCCAGCCCTCCCTGCAGGCAAGCCCACACTACAGAGTCCGGCCCATGGGCTGGGTCCTTCTGCAGTCCTTTGCTGCTTGTCTTTGGGGAAGGAAAGACCCCAAGGCCCAGAAGCAGACTGGACCACATGGAAGGTTCTGACTGGTGAAGCACACTGAGAAGATCAGAAGTAAACAATGTAACAAAAATCAACACATGACTTCTCCCACTGGTTAAGTGTTCACCTTCACATCTGGCCACTAGGTGCAGCTTAACTCATCCCTGGGCTAGAGAGGTTTCTCTACAAACCCAAATAAAGTCGAGTTGGCCAAATATGAAGTCTGACATTTAGAACCCTAATTGTCCCCAAACCAGCCACACCCCGCTTTGTAGATAGCTGTGCCAGTGCTGGCTCAGGTGCCCCCACTCCTGAGTGGGAAGAGCCTGAATCCGGACAGGCACGAGGCCCAGCGGGCTGGCACAGTACCTTGCAACCATGCAGGAGGGTGCTGACTCCCACGTCCTTGGCAAACTCCTCCATGTCGAAGTCAATGTGGTCATACAGCGCACACTCCTCCTCCGTCACAGGGGCCACGGCCTCATTAATGCCAGGGATAAGGATTTGCCCTTTCTTATCTATCAGGGAACCTGAGGCAAGTGGAGAGGGTTGAAACATTTGAAGGGCGGCACAAGAGGAACTGTGAAATAGCAAATGACTGGGTGGAAACCTGCTCCTGAGCTGAGGGGAGCCTGGGAGAGGGGCGGAGCAGACTGCAGCCCTAGAACAACTCTAATGGCAGCTTTGCTTCCAGGGGAAGAAAAGGGAGCTGACAGACACAGGGGGACTTGGCTCCCTTTGGCCACACACCAAGGGGAAACCAGGAACGGCAGCAGATTGGTGGCCCATTGTAACAGAGCAGGAGTGTCTTCCCAGTGGCTGGGGAAAGCATCCTGACTTTTAGGGCACATGCTGGACGGGACCTGGGAGAGACCAGGGGGTGTGGGAGGCAAGGCCAGACTTCATCAGGTATGGGACCATCCTAGGCAGAGCAGATGATGCAGAGGCAGAAATGAAACACAAGGGTCTTTTGAATGAAACTGAAGAAGGGACCTGGGATCCTTGGATACATCACCTGCTGTGGCCATCAGCCTAGAACCAGCACCCGCCCCTTCCCCAAGCCTCACAATTGACCAGGGACGGCCCATCCCAGCTTACCCATCAGGGAAATGAGATCCGTCATGGCCTCGTGCACCGAGCCGCCGTACACCCCAGAATGGAGGTCCTTGTCACTGCATTCCACCTGGGCAGGAACAAAGGGCACTTTATGTGGGACTAAGTGGGAGCTTACTTTTTATCATGTGACAGCACATTGAACAAAGAACATTTATAAGACCTGATCATTTTCAAAATCAAAATCTGCTCCCCCGGGGACTAAGGGCTGCCCCTCCCCATCCTTTCATGAAGACCTGAGAGCCTGCGACATGCACCATGACCGGTGTGGGTCTGGAGCCTGAGAACATGGGTTCAGGCTCATTCCTTCACTGATCAGTCTTATAACCAGGTGAGCAACTAACCCATGTGCCAGTCCCAATCTCTAAAGGGGACAGACCACGCACTCCCCCACAGTCCCAGGTCACTTCTAACATTCGGATGGGTCATGCCCAGTGACCGCTCAGTGCAGCAATGGCTGTCATTTCTGCCGCTTGGGGGTAAAGGTCACAGACTCCACTCTCACCACCCAGGACCCGTGCAGGAAGACCAGCCCCAGGTGATCTCCGCCAGTGACCCGCAGAGTGCAGCAGGGAGGGAGGGGCTCGGGGCTCCCTGCCCTCAAGAAAACTCAGTTGTGGGATGCAAGCTCCAGTACTGATATGCAAAAGAAGGGTTCTTCAAATGTTTTGTATATGTCTCAGTCTCCTGAGATGGACTAGCATTTAGTCTCCTCTTACTTTCTCCAAAGAAATATTACAAGTAACAGCTCTAGCTTGACATCACTATGAAATTGACTTCTGACCCCAAGAACCACTGTCCATGCCTGGGATATTAGGAGGGCTTACAGAACCTAAGTCATAAAGCTCTAAGCCGAAAGCTCCTCTCCACACATGACTAACTTCTTGGCACTTGCCTATTGTAGGTAGGGAAGAACAAGGAGGCTTAGTTGTTAATCCAAGAAGGCAAGGAAGCCTGAAGAACCCAGCCCCACACCTCAATGAAAAAGTAGCAGATTCCCCGGAGGCCATAGGTGACGCAGGGCTTCTTCTTCCCCAGCCAGTAATTGTCAGAAATGCAGACGTAGTCCACATCTTTAAAGAACGTGTCTTTCTGGGCAAAAATCAGCTCGTCCAGGCCTTCAGAGCCAGATTCCTCCATGCCTTCCAGGCAAAACCGCACGTTGACAGGAACCTCCTGTGAGAGAGAGTGGCAGAGGATTCGGCTTCGTGGCTTTCCATCCCAAAGTACCACATGGGGAAGCAGAGTGCTTTCAAACTGTGAATTTCAAGTTTCAGTCTCCTCCAGACCAGAGGCAGGGAGGGATTAGGTTCAGAGGGTGGCCCTCCACATCCCTCTAAGGGAGGACGGGGAGGCCTAACGGAGGCCCAGTGGGGCTTAGGGAGGTCTGGGGAAACCTGTGGGGAAGAGGTGTCCATCAAGGGATTTCTGCATTCAGAGTGAGCAAAGAGAAGACAGGAGCCAGAGCCACTCCTGTAACAGAGAGCAAAAACCTTAGCATGATGAGCACCACCCAGTCCTCATGGAGGCTGACAGAACTACCAATGCGAGGACAAGCCAGGAAGCCCTTTCCTCCTGAGGCCACCCGGCCACTGGCACCACCCACCCACACAGCTCTGCATGGAAGTGGTGCCCTTGCCTGAGAAGCCAGTCTAGACTATGTGTTCTGGATGATTTTCTAGGTACTCTTCTAGCTTCGAGAGCAAGACAGGTGACCCACCCATGGACACAGCCAGACGACTAGCCAGAGTCCACAGAAAGCACAGAAGAGCAGGGCAGACATCTTGCTGAGAAGTCATCAGGGTAACCTTTGAGCAGCGGCACAGTGATCACTCTTCTAATGTTTTCTAGAGCTGGCATCAGCTACACAATCTTAGATCTGAGTCACCCGTGCTGACGAAGCTGGGGGACATTTGCTTTCTCCTGCCTGGTGATCTTTATGGCACTGCTCAGATCGGATCTGGCAGGCCCTGCGGTGAACATACCTGACCGGTCTTCTGATAAGCTTCCAGGGCATTCATCCAGCCGGCCACTGGCCCCTTATCATCAGTTGAGCCTCTCCCATACAACTTGCCTAGAACAGCAACAATTCAGTGCTGGTTATAATGAAATTGAAAGGAGTATATACCTGAAATATCCATTTGGCAATGTCTTAGCTAGCACAACCACACTTGGGGAGGGAGGAAGGCTTTCTTTTCACTCCAGAAGCCCAGAGTCTCCACCCAGTCCTAGTGGCAGAATTCAGAGAATTCACCATGATCCCAGAAACAGTCATGTATGTGTCCCACCATGCCCCTCCTTCCCTTCTACAGCAGTGGTGAGCTAGCATTCCTCCGGACCAGGGCAGGGACTCACAGTCCCTTCCAGGTCATCAAAGCTGGTCACCACAAGCAGTCAGCAGCGGCGTAGGTGGGAAGCTCGGTCACTCATACTGCAAACACACCACAGACCTCACCCCACCCCAATGTTGACACCAAAGCTGATACATAAACAGAGCTTGCATTTAAAATTTTTTACTTCTCCATTCTTTTTTCAGTTATCATTTTGAAAACTGCAGGACAGAACACTACTTCCAACCATTATTGGATCTGGGACTTCCAGGAGGTGTCAGGGTTACTTAGGGAACGTCTGGAGAGGTATGGAGGAGTAAGGGCCTGGAAAATCAGGACAGGGACTGGCAAGGGACAACTCCTGGTGTAGAGCAACACAGGGTCTGTCACAGAGACCAAGAAGGCTGAGGAAGGAAGATAGCTGTAAGTCCTGCTACAGACTGGTGGAGTTTACATGGTGAGGAAACGCCACTAAGACTTGAGCATCTGCACTCCAGGAGGAGTTTACTCCAGGTACACACAGAAGACTAACTCCCATACTAACTAGGTGCACACACAGCATCATGTAGAGGTGCACAGAAGACTAACTCTGATAACTAACTAGTGTGCACACACAGCATCATGTAGAGGTGCACAGAAGACTAACTCTGATAACTAACTAGGGTGCACACACAGCATCACATAGAGGTGCACAGAAGACTAACTCCCATACTAACTAGTGTGCACACACAGCATCATATAGAGGCGTGTAGAAGACTAACTCTGATGACTAACCACTGTTCACACGTCAGCATCAGACAGAGGATGATGGCATGGGATTAAGTTTGAGGAAAACTGTCATTTTAAGTGGCATGTCTCTTCAATCTTGCAGTCATGAACACAGTTCATACCTGGCCAGGAGAGGTCTAAAGACAGACTGCACCAGTTAGAAAAGAATTCTGGAAAGCAGCCCTGAAGGGCAAGGCTCAAATGCAAGGGCCTCTGTTTCTTTCTGGTCAGGGACTGCCATGGACAAACGCAGAGAGAAGTGAGAGCAGAGTGCCCCTCAAGAGCGGCTGGGAAGAATCTAGCTTCTATGGGTCCTGTGTCTCACGAGCCTGCTGGTGCCGAAGGCAGGCGCTAAGGACAGACTGCTGCCTCCTATTGTCCTAGAGTGACACACAAAGCAGTAGCTGGGGGCTGGGAAGGTGGCTCAGTGGTAGAGCGCTTGCCTTGCATGCATGAGGCCCTGGGTTCGATTCCTCAGCACCACATAAGCAAAAAGAAAAAAGCCGAAAGTGGCGCTGTGGCTCAAGTGGTAGAGCGCTAGCCTTGAGCTGAAGAGCTGAGGGACAGTGCCCAGGCCCAGAGTTCAGGCCCCATGACCGGACCAAAAAAAAAAAAAAAGCAGTAGCTGGACCTCAGGGAGAGGCACTAGGCAACAGGCCTTTGAGGATTACGTGGCCTCAGTTCAGAAAATATATCTGGAAGAGACATCAGGATATACTAAAGCCCAAGATAGGATGAAGTTACTTGCACAAGAAAAGGTAGGTTTTTCCAAGTTTTCACTGACTGAGACACATGTAAAAAAACTCCAGAACCCATTCTCTAGATAAGAACAATCCCTATTGGCCAGGTGTGGCATCACATGCCTATAACACTAGCATTCAGGAGGCTGAATCCTGAAGAGCCAAAGTTCCAGACCAGTCTAGACTATCTAGCAAGACTGTCTAAAACCAACAAAGACAAAAACCCAATCTGTGGTTGAAAGAGGAAAACCTGAGGTGATCAGCGATTTTCCCATGGCAGAAAATGCAGCAATGTTGGTGTGAACAGGGAGCCCGCCTCCTTGGGAGAGCAGGGGACACGGAGAGACACCGCCCCTCACCATCTCGCTCCACCAGCGTGAAGGGCTCGCTGTCCCAGCCGTCCTCCAGGGCCGCGGGCTGCACATCCAGGTGCCCATAAATGCACACTGTTTTCTTCTGGGGGTCGTTGCCCAGCTTGCCAAGCAAAATGGGAGGGAGTGGAATCTCTGAGCCATCAGGGAGCTAAGACGGAAAAACCAAGAACAGCCTCATTAAAAAACTTGGGATTTACTGGCTCTGTTATTAAACATACCTGGGCTTTCTTATCTGCTCTTATCCATCAACTTCAGCTGAAAACTTTAAGATCGTACTGCTCAGCAGACATTAATTAACGAGAATTTACTTTCCTGTAATCCAAAGAGCGTACTGAATTACATCTACACATTTTCAAAGACTTGATTCTTCAGTAACATTGACAGAATAAAACTCTGCAGGCTGAGTGTCCAGGGCCTCACAGCTGCTCAGGAAACCCAGACCTGGAGGATCATGGTGGGGAAGAAAAGTCTGTGAGACTCCATCTTCAATTACCCTACAAAAAGAGGACTGGAGGGCTGGGAAGATGGCTCAGTGGTAGAGCGCTTGCCTTGCATGCCTGAGGCCCTGGGTTCGATTCCTTAGCACCACATAAACAAAAAGAAAAAAAAGCCAAAGTGGCGCTGTAGCTCAAGTGGTAGAGCACTAGCCATGAGCTGAAGAGCTGAGGGACAGCACCCAGACCCAGAGTTCAGGCCCCATGACTGGACCCCCCCCAAAAAAGAATTAAGATTAAATGGAGGGCTGGTAAGGTGGCTCAGTGGTAGAGTATTTGCCTTGCATCCATGAGGCCTTGGGTTTAACTCCTCAGCATCATATATGCAGAAAATGCCAGAAATGGCACTGTGGCTTAAGTGGTAGAGTGGCTAGCCTTGAGCTGAAGAGCCGAGGGACAGCGCCCAGGCCCAGAGTTCAAGCCCCATGACCAGCAAAAAAAAAAAAAAAAAAAGATTAAATGGAAAGATACATTTTTTTGAAACTCTGTATGAAGACTACCACCATGCACAGATGTAAAGAAATACAATCCACATGGAGCCATAGTAGATGAAGTGGTGACTGTAGGTATTGGTGTCAGTCATTTGTCCTCCTGTAAGGATGGGCACAGGACATGAATGGCAGACTTCTGTGTGCAGAGGAGAAATTCAGGGACAGGACAAGAGAGCAAGTCAGCCAGGTCTCCTCCAACCTTCCCATCAGCTCCATGGTCCCCACCTGGACTTACACTGTGGCTCTAGCAGGCTGTGCACAAGCCTTGCGGCCCAAGTGCCTCCTCTACCAGTCCCCACATTCTAACAGAAAACCCTGTGACCACAGCAGAACCCCACAAGCCATGGCAGAGGAGGATGTGAGCGTGTATACCTGATTCAAAAGGAGGAGGCAGGGACTGTCCAACCAGCATGTCATATATGTGCATTGATCCAGACACCAGGATATTCTAGTTACAGTAATATAAACAACACATGCCAGGTGTGGTGATACACATGTGTAGTCTGGCACTTGAGAAGCTGAAGGATGGGAGGATTTTACATGTGTGGCTAGAAACAAGGGCTGGGAATGTAGCTCAGTGGTCAAGTGCTTGCCTAGAATGCACTAGGCCCTAGGTGTCAACACCTTGCCCTGCCCCACTCCAACCCTGGTTATAATGAGCAAACTACGTTCTTAGTGAAGCTGGACTAACAACTTAGATTTAGAGGTAAAATGAACAACTGAAAGCAGAAGACAACATGGTGCGGGGCTGAGAACACTCCACACTCTGAGCTTGTGAGCACTGTTGGGAACTCAGCAGGTGTTCAGAATTCTTGTCAGAAAGACGTGTTTCCTCATTATAGGTTACCTATTAATACTTAAGTGACTCTGGTAATCCAGAGCCATCTGTACTCAGTGTGCAGACTAGATGCCCAGCACTACTTGAGCTACACACAGTGAGGGCTGGATTTTCTACATGAGATCTCCTGAGGCTGGCCAGGCGCCAGTGGCTCACGCCTGTAATCCTAGCTACTCAGGAGGCTGAGATCTGAAGATCTCAGACAGACTTCCCCTAAATAAATTTCAAAAAAATCCCCAAAACCTCAACTAGTTTAGCATTTTCTAACAAGCTGTCAGGACCCATACATAAGTTGGCTTTGAAATTTACTTGGGCTTGACATCCCAGTCTTACCTTTCCTCCAGCTGTGATAACCCCAGCTTCACCTTCAGACCTGCTCCGGCCATCCTTCCCCCTGGACATAGAGCCCAGCTCAAATGAATAAACAAGGAGAGAAGATGCAGAGCTGATGCCCTGCAAACGTCTGGAGAAGTCCTCTCCCTCTCTCTCCCTACCAGTGCTGGAGATGGAACACAGGGCCCTGACTAAAAATTCTACCACTGAGATACATCCCTGTGGTGATGAAAACTTTCAATTCCTTGTTAAAAACAGATGTTACATAGCCTGAAGTGGTAGAATAGTCATCTTATTCTTCAATGAAGGGCCGTACCTAAAACACCACCCTGTAAAGTCAGTGGTAAAGTGAATAGATCTATTGTAATGAAACAACTCTTAAATTATTTATCACATCTAGTTTTCTCATATATTGGGAAAAGACGGAGAAGAGAGCAAGTAAAGTGCATACCCAAGAGAAAACAAGATGAAAAACTTGGTTATTCTCCCAAGAGTAAGCAAAAAATACAATTGTTTGCAAGGTGTAATACATCTAAGTCAACAATTAAATCTACTGTCAGAAGAAAATATCAGAAGAACCGTATTGAGTGAATACTGAATTCTGGCATTTCCATTTCCCTGGCTCCTGGTGGCCCAGTCCACTGGAATAAAGTATGCTCACAACCAAATGTCCACATCCGACACTCTAGGACTGTAGTTTTCTACCCACATCAAACTCGACAAAGCAAAGGAGTAAGATGAACAACATCATGTCATGTCCTACTATTGTAGGACTCATATTTGAGTCTTCAAACTCTGAAAATACAAGGGCTGAAATTATTGGAAACTAGATCTGCATAATCATGTATCATAAAGTGAGACTGTTTACTTAAATAAGAAGGAAAAGAGCCGTTCTTCTCTGTCCCGATCCGACATTAAACGGCAGCAGACACCACCACCCGTCTCCCTCATGAAGTGCTGAGGACATAAGCCGTGGAGCAGAAGTCAACACTATCTTTAGCGACAAGGTAATAGTTTAATTTGCCGGCTTAAAGCTTTTTAATTTCTGGGACAGGTATTTCAGCTATTCTCTAATAATGACCAATACAGTAATTTATTCTTGTGCAACTGTCTACCTTTCTCCTTCCTGAAGAAAAATGATGGGTATCACAAAATCTCCACTCTAATCCAACTAATGCAATCACTGAATGGTCATTGCAAGGGCCCTGGCTTGTTCTGAAGATGGGCTGAGCAACTACAGCAAAAGCTCACCCAAGACTGGGTGGAGTGCTCTCAACCCTGACCCAACCCGCTGCTGGGCTCTGCAGCCCCTACCTTCTGTTTCCCGATGTCCATCAGCTCCACAGAGCCCCCCAGCTTCTGGATGTCTCCAGCTGCAGTCTCCATCATCCTTTTGATCTCCCCTCTCTTCTCGGGCCATGCAGACACACTCTGGATGGCTACCCATTCAGCAAGTTTCTGTAGGTAGAGAGCAAGCAAAAGGAATTAGTTGGAAAAGGATTTCCTTCCAGGTAGAACAAGGTTTCTAACTATGCGGTTTTTCAAGGACCTCAGTCCCATTCACTTGCCGACACAGACTAGGCAGACAGAACAAGATCCATTATACTGGCTTGTGTTCTAGATTTTAAGAACTGTACACTAACCCTGCCCAACGTCTAGAACAAAACACAAGACAGCAGGATATGTATTTTTAACCACTAAGGTGATATGAATATAAAATGTACTGAGTTCCATAAGTATCTGAGCCTTACAAAATTTAACTGAAAGATACCGTAAATACCAGCACTCTTCTAAATCAAATTAGCTTATTTATCCTCCCCCAAAAGATCCATGTTTTATCATTTTTAGAATAAGAAATGTAAAGAATTTTTTTTCCTGAAGTATGTCTATCAAAAATAACTAAAGAACTAGGTGTAGGTACCTCACATGTATAATACTAGCTACTCAAGAGGCAGAGATCTGAAGATCATGGTTTGAAGTCAGCCTGGGCAGGAAAGTCTGTGAGATTCTTACCTCCAATACATTACCAAACAGTCAGAAGTGGAGCTAATGCTAAGTGGTAAAGTGCTAGCCTTGATCAAAAAGAAACTCAGGGATAGTACCCAGGCCCTGAGTTCAAGCCCCAGAACTGGCACTAGTAAGTAAAAACATAAATAACTTAAGAGCATGATACTTTAAAATCAAGAAACAAATAAGCATATAACATTAGAGTTACTCAGATGATGCTAAATACAAACTAGTTCTTTAATGTGTAACTATCTCAAGAAATCACAGATGCAGATTAAAGAAAAATCACAAGGTAGCTTATCATTTCTAGAAATAGATATTAACACTTTCTGTGAAATTCCAGAGGTGAAGCTATATTGTACTGAGAACGTAGAGAAACAGATCCCTGGGTAAGATTCTGAGTACTTGTTTAAATGGCAAAATCCAAACTGACTTCCAAGTTTCTCTGACCCCACAGCTAAAGCCAAGTTTCACTGCTCATAGCACAGGGATCTCCTTACCTTAATGTAGCGATCCTGGTTTTCATCAATATACTGAAACACAGGAGTGAGGGCAGACATCCTTCAAGTAGGCTGCACACTTTGGAGGTTCCTGGAAGGGAGAACAATGGGTCAGTCCTGCCTGCAGGAAGAACTGAGGTCAGTGACTCGTCAGAGCTCTAAGTATGGCTCCACCCTCGTGTCAGCATTGCAACACCCATCACAAGACAGTCCAGGAAGTGAGTACCCTTTGGAACCCAGACAGAGGCTGAAGACTCATCTTCCTTTAGCTCTGCAAAAGGCTTACACAAAACTGGATCCAATCGCAAGGCCTGAATCATGGACAATCTGATAAAAACCAAAGGAACACTAATTTATCAGGGACTTTTAACTTTATACTCTTAAAGCACACAGAGAACTTTTTACCTTCTGTTACTACAGCGGAACAAGTTACTTTAAAAATAAAAAAAAAAAAAAAGTCATGTGCTGAGTCTCCACATCCACAAAGCCACAACAAGTCAGCCAGATAAACTGCATGAAGTCAGCTTAGGTGAGCTGACAATCTCGGAAGGAACTGCCCAAGGGCCATGTATTGCACTCTGTGAGGAAGAGTTTTTGTCTGCCCCGCACAGTGGGGTAACTGAGGGTTGTAATAATGCACTGTATGTTCAGAAAGCTAGAAGAGGATTTGAAACCTTTCTACGATAAAGAAGTGATTAGTGGGCTGGGAAGGTGGCTCAGTGGTAGAGTACGTGTCTAGCATGCATGAAGCCCTGGGTTCAGTCCTCAGCACCACATACACAGAAAAGGCCAGACAGGGTGCTGTGGTTCAAGTTGTGCTAGCCTTGAGCAAAAGAAGCTCAGGGACAATGCCCAGGCGCTGAGTTCAAGCCCCAGGACTGGGAAGGAAGGGAGGGAGGGAGGGAGGGAGGGAGGGAGGGAGGGAAAGAGAGAAATGACTAGTATCTGAGACAAATGTTTCTACCAATTGGAATACTACAGTGCCTATGTATTGAGACACCATGAATATATATGTGTGCCCCAGGACTATGTATAGTGTTTATGCTTTTAGAAACAAACTTAAAACTAAACTTCATTGTCTACAGACTCCTGGCACATTGTCTAACACCTAGCTTTCATGAAAAGGATTCCTGGACACTTGGAATGGCAGAGTAAATAAAGGCACAATGCAAGAATGAATGGAATGAAGGTGTAGGCATGAGACCACACGGCCCCACACTGCAGTACAGATCAGACGAAGGTGTCAGATAAATGCACTGATAAGTAAAGAATACACTGATAAGTAAAGAACTTTTTCCCCCTGAATAAAGGATCCTATGACAAGAAGCTGGCAGCTAGGCAGGAGATCCAGAAGTTTCCTGAGATGCACAGTGTGAGAAAATCACAGAACAATGAGTAGCAAATCTCATTTCTCTATGGGTGGAAGATGAAACTAGCAAGTTCTTGGTGCCCTTGCCCTGCTGCCTCCTCTGCAAACACCAGGTCATAGCCACATCTGGGGCCAGCTCAGCCTCACCTGAAGCCCATGAATGCCACTGAGGCTTTTAGTAAGTCACATTTCACCTGTCACCAGAAAGCTATACAGGGAAGCTATCTGTTTACACGACATGAAACTCTGTTTCCTAGCAGACCACATACACTTGGAGCTTTCTTTGGTGTTCCTGCCACTAACTACTACAAATCTCAAACTCCCTGCAGCACATCCTTTCTGTTCTTCATGCCTACATTAACCCAGGGTCTTTTAGCTAAAACCACACAAAGATACAATCATGGAAGCTGCATTTTTGTCAAGAATAGTATAAATACTGACCAGAATGTTCTGCTTCCCTGCAAAGTCTCCAGAGCTGAGCTCAAACCCCCTCCCCCTCCAGGCAAAGCAGTCCAGCCAGGTTTCATTTTCTCCCTCCCACTCAGTTCTGATTCCAGTTTTACCTCTGCCTGCACCAAAGCCTCTAAGGAGAGCACCCTGTTTGCTTTGGGATGAGCCTGATGTATTAAGATAAAAACAGTTTGGGTGAAATGAACAAAAGCAAACTTTAGTCTGTTGCTGGTGGCTCATATCAGTAATCCTAACTACTCAAGAGACTTAGATCTGAAAATGGTAGTTCAAAGCCAGCCCAAGCTCTATGTATGTATGTGTGTGTGTTACACACATACATTCTTTCAGATAATAAGATAGTTTCACTGCCTTTTGAAATCTCAAATTTAAAGAGGTCAGGGAGAGAGGAAGGAGAAACTGTATGTGCAGTATGAGTATCAATCTTTGTCTCTTGATAGTTCAAGGTATACATTAATGTGACTTTAACTGAGTAAAAAGCATCAAAGCTAGGGCAAACAGGATCCATTTGTCTGTTCTAGAACTTCTTCCTAAACATACCATGGAATCACTTTCTGCAACTCCTCTCTACCAACATTACAAACAGGGTCAAGTTTTAGTGTGTGCATTTGTGCGTATACAAATTTTACAAATGGGTTTTAGTGTGTGTATGTGTATATATATGCAAAAATTACAAACAAGGATTTTAGTGTGCGTGTGTGTTTGTGCCTGTACTCAATCTTGAACTCAGGGCCTGGGTGCTGTCCCCTGGCTTTTTCGGCTCAAGGCTGTCCCTCTACCATCGCAGGTGTGAGCCACCATCCACATAGGGTAGGTTACAGGCCCAGCTCCAGGCCCCTTGGTCTCCCTCTGAGAGGCGCCAGATGAGTGGTCCCCAGGTAAAGGTGGGGGCCTCTGTGAGGATCTGAAGGACAGTGCAGGGAGCTGTTACCCACCCCACCCCCACAGCGAGGAAGGAGCCTTGATGACCTCCCTGCCCTCCCCTCAAAGACCCGGCCTCACTGACCCCCCCCCCCCCATAGACCTGGCCTCCCAGACCCTCCCTCCCTTCCCCTCCCCTCACAGACCTGGCCTCCCAGACCCTGCCTCCCTGACCCTCCCTCCCTTCCCCTCCCCCCCAGACGCGGGCTCGCTGACACTCCCTCCCTTCCCCTCCCCCCCCCAGACGCGGCCTCGCTGACCCTCCCTCCCCTCCCCTCCCCGACGCGGCCTCGCTGACCCTCCCTCCCCTCCCCTCCCCTCCCCGACGCGGCCTCGCTGACCCGCCCTCCCCTCCCCTCCAGCGGCCTCGCTGACCCGCCCTCCCCTCCGGGACCCCCGGGCCTGCGTGGCGTCGTCCCCCCCCCCCCCCCGCAGCCCGGAGGCCCTTAGGGAGGCGCGGGCCTGTCCAAGGCCTCCGGGGACTCGGGGCCTCCGAAGCCGGCCGCGCACTTGGGGCCAGCCGGCCTCCATGGCTCCTGCCTAGCCGGGAACCTGCAGGCCCTGCCGGCGCGGGGTGCAGGCCGGGGCGGCCGCCGCCAAGGGGAGCCCCGCGGGACAGCCCCGCTTACCGCCGGGAGCGCACGCCGGTTCCGCACCACGTGTCCTGGGCCACACCCCCAGCCCTGGGCTCGCCCCGCCTACTAGCCCTCAGCCGGGGCCGGAGGGCTGACACCGCCCCGCGCTACCCACCAATGCATGACCTCCTCCGGGCGGGTGACGTCGATAATCCCCGCCCCTAATTGCTCCGCCCACAGGCCCTCTGCCGAGTCAGAAGGGCTGGCTCCTCCCCTCCCATCCGCAGCCCCGCCCTCCCTCCACACGGGGCGGGGCGTTTCCCGGGCTGGGATTCGCCCAGAGGCGTGTCCGTCACGCTCCTGGGGCCCTGGGTGGTGTCCGGAATAATGGGATCGCGCTTCGTTCCCCACTGTGTCCCTGTTCCTGCAGAATCCGGGACTACCCGCATTCCAGTTTGTTGTACTTGATGACCAAGCATTCAGCACTGCTGCCAAGAGTAGAAACGGGAAGTGGAGCTGTGGCTCAAAGTGGCAGAGCACTAGCCTTGAGAAAAAGGGCTCAGGGACAGCGCCCAGGCCCTGAGTTCAAGCCCCGTGACTAACAAAAATAAACTAATAATCATAATCCCAATCAAAGGACCCATGGCACACCACTGTTGGGTTTGTCAAAGTTTAATAAGTATCTGGGGATAGTATAAAAGAAAGCAGGAACTTGGGCCCAAGTTTAAAAAAATGAATATGCGTTTTCCATAATCATCTGATAAAAAGTTAGTGAAGATACTTCCCCAGTAAACCTGACTAAATGCTAAGTGGAGGATGCTGTATCTGGAAATGTTAAACTTTACCTGGAAATATGTTACGTTTGCAGAATTTTCTAGGTCCCATCCCTTGAAATCATGCAAAATGGGCACCTGATTCTGATTGAGCAGGTCTCCTTCACTAAAATCATGTAGACTCTGGAACACCCAAAGCTTTAAAAGAGACACAGTACTGAACTTACAACCAAGTCTGGGCTTTGAGCAAGGCTCCTTAAATGTGACCCCTCTTCCTCATGAAGGAGCAGGCTATGAGGGAAGGCCTGCCCTGGCTCTTAGTTCCCAGGCCTCTCTGTTCTAGAAGAGAGCCCCTGTGGAATTGACACAGCTGTTGAAACTGCAGTCCTTAAAACACAGACCTCAGAAAGCCTGTGCCTCAGTCTGAAGACCTCTGCCCTTCATCCCCAGCTTCTCAGTAAATGAAGGAATCGTTGAGTGTGAAGCCCTGAGTGTCCAGCAAGTGGCACTGCATGCACATTTCTTCTCTGGTAAAGGGTGCATGGCAGGTTGTACAGGATGGCAGTAAATCTCAAAGAACTAGAGGAATGTTCCTCAGCTTCTCTGCAACTTTGAGGAGGGGAAGGTTATTACAGAGAACACAAGGAGACAGGTATGTGGACTCTTATCACCAATTAACTACTGAAAAATCCAGAAGTAGAGCTGTGGCTCAAGGGCTAAAATGCCAGCCTTGAGCAAAAGCTCAAGGACAGCAATCAGGCCCTCAATTCAAGCTCCCGGACTGCCTAGATAGATAGATAGATAGATAGATAGATAGATAGATAGATAGATAGATAGATAGACAGACAGACAGACAGACAATCATAATTATCTTTCCCAGTACTAAGGTTTACACTCAAGCACTCTGCCCCTTCAGTTATGCTCCCAGCCCTAACATTGTAATGCTTTGCAGTTCTTGAAGCATATTTCCTTTGTTATTTTATGAGAAGAAACACTAAGAAGGATTGTTTTCCTATCTGTATCCTGGGATCTTCTCATTTG